AAAGCAAAACAAATAATTACAAAAACAAATTTAAAAAATACAAAAAATAAATTAAAAAATAAAAAAAATCCATTGATAAAGCTAACTCTGACTTAACAATGGCAGAAGTTTACTATGTGCAGGTACTGTGAAATGATGCCCATCAGTGTTACAGCCACTTGGTTACAGCAGTTAAATGCCGTGTTGGGCAAACTATGTCATAGATTTCTGCTACCCTTCTCTTTTAACGAATAACACGTGACTGTTAACGCAAGTAACTCCTCTTATTTATTGTTCAACTTTCTTTTTTCCTAAAGAAATGACTTCTGTATATCATCCTGAGAGCAGCTCTTCAGAGAAGTACCTTGAAAGCTATACCTATTTAACGTGAAACCCATTAACTGGAGTAATTAAAACTCTTTTATTTTTCCAATAAATTCACTGAGTTAGATAAGTTGGAGCTGGAATTCTGAACTTTGTGCCTGGACTGCCTGATTAGCTGGAAAAAAAAAAAAAAAAAAAAAAAAGGGGATATCTATTTAATTCTCTCAGCTAATTAGCTGGCTGGGCCTCTGACCTAAGACAGCAACAAACAAATACCGCGAGTTCATAACTTCTAAAGCAACTGCAAGAGAAACTCTTTAAAAGCTGCACATGTGTGCGCCATTGCTATCAACATGGCTTTGTCAGTAGCTAATACTTTCTGTGAAGGCACCAGCTTGTGATGTGCCATCTCATTTCACCTTGCATGTGAGACGGCAAACAAAATCCTCAAACAGTGTGAACTAGTTAATATGCCGGCTGTTACCATGCATAAATTATGGTCTTATCACACGGGTTTTTCGTGGGAAATATATCTGTGAATAGCCTGTTTTCTTCCACATGTAAATTTGTGCCTTACACCCTCAGTTGTGTATATTTGTGAGCTGTAGTATGTAAAAACCTTTTTCTTTTTCCCCTTTGAGTAATGCAAATATTTATTGATCCTTCCTCCTCCAAGCCCTTTAAAGAACTGGAGTAAAGACATAGAAAGAAGAACGTGGTGGTTATTGTCATAACCCCATGTCCCTCAAGAAATTAGGCTAGCACCATATCCTCCATTTCAACTTGACTTTATAGCTGTGCCAAGTCCTCTCTCAAAACCACCTACACGCAGTGACGCTCCCAAGGCACCATGCTGGGAGTTCCGCCTTCCTCCACCTCCTGCTCCCCCTTTACTGCCTGTCAGCGTGGCGGTCATTCTCACTGGGCAGCAGGGAAGTTACCGACACCCTTGTCCACAGGGCTGGTGTGTTCCCCGGTCAGTGTGTTCCCCTTCGTCCGCGAGAGCCGGGGGGAGGGGCCAGCCCTGCAGAAAGCCTGGCCGCGCATCCTGCAGCACGCAGGGTTCAAGGAGCGAGGACAGACAGGCAGGCTCCTGCTGTGGCTACCTGCTGCTCCAGAAGGATGCTGCATATACTTCTTTGGGGAAAAATGGCTTTGGTTTTTTTTTTTCCTTTGTTTCTTTTGTGTGACTGTGCATGTAGCTAGTGTGGGAGTGTGCGTGCACACAGGTGTGTGCGTGTGTGTGTGCACGCCAGTGTGCAAGTTCCTTTCCAGTCTTTTGGTTTATGCAAAAACGTAGATGTGTTTTTAATCTGTTACAATAACTGTGTCAACATACTGTAGAAAAAATGATGGGGATCGCTTCTAAGCTTTTTATATATATATATATCTACTGAACAGTATGTTTGAGTAAGGTGGTTGTTTCTGTTTCAGTTTGTTTTTTAAGATTTTATACTTCCATTTGTTTTTCAGGGCTTTGGTTTTGTTTCTGGATGATTGAAAAGACAGATTTTAAGTCCATTAGCTTATAGATGGTATATATAAAGTCTGGATGGTCTAGACCAAAGTGTGTAACAAGGGTGCTTGCATGTTCTTTCATTTCATCATGGCTTCTTTTATGAAACAGTTTTGTTCACCCCTAGTGAACTATGCAGACTGGAGTAGATAAATCAGTATCCAAAACAATGTTGTTGTTTTAATAAAAACAAACAGAAAACCCTTTGAAAACAATAGGTAGCAAGGTCATTTTTTAAAAAGAACCAACTCACAACCTTTTTACCAAGCTCCAAACCACTGGAGCACCAAACACGCAGGTGCCCTTGATATTACCCAACAAAGTGTTCCCCCAGAACATAGAGATGAATAATCATGGCAACAGCTTGTGCAGCGATCTGCCTTCACAATGTACACCACACCAGTTACTGGGTTGACCTGGAAATGTGTATTTTGTACTTGGTGGATCTTCTGCTTTTGTCTTTTCCCTCCCCCAGTTCCCTTATACCCTCTGTTTCGAGGGGTTCATGAACCTATGTGTGCCTTTGCTTTCCACCCTTGCTATACACTGGTAGATGCAACAAATTCAGACTCTCATTTGTTGTAAAGTTGTAAAGTATTGTGATGTCACCAGTTTCCCTTCATTTCCACATCCCCCTAACATCTGATTCACAACTTAATGTATGTTGTAAAAAAATAAAAAAAAGGAAAAAAAAAAAAAAGAAAAAAAAAGGCAAGAAAGAAAGAAAAGGAGGAGGAAGAGAAAAGGGGAAATAAAAGCTCTTGATTACATATGGTAATAAAACCAGACTGTTCTACCTTATTTCTTGTGTTCTGGTTCTTTTGTTTCTACAATGATTTATCCTTTTCCTTAAACATTACAAACAAATGCGATGCTGATCATTTAGATCAGGTTATAGGGAGAAAGAAATTTGTTACTTTCTGTCTCTTAAAGAAGATGAATTTGACTTTAGAGTAAGGTGATGGTAATTAAAAATTGAATCACACATTTGCTCTCCCTCTATTCATATTCTGCATTTTCTTTTTATGAGCTTGTTCATCATCAAATATTTATGGCAGACTTGATAGTTTAGAAGATCAAGGCTGGGATTTAAGCATGCATGGTCCACCAGAATAGATCATCATACAGATGTGACTTCATCTCCAGGCTTTACATATTAATAATGGAGAAGCCTGTGTTTTCTTTTAGCAGGCATAAATCTATTGAGCTTCATAGACCTGATTTAGAGGATGTTGCCAGAGAATAATGCTACAAGAAAATGTTAGTAAACAGATAAATAACCAAAGAGCATATAACATCTCTAGTCCTGGGAGCCATTAAAATGCGTTCTCCCACATTGATTTTGTGTAAATGGGGATCACTGATGCACAGCCATTTTACAGTACACGTGAATGCATGGTAACATTAGTTACTGGGCTTAGTGGGTTTTGCTTTGTGACAGAAGTTTCTTATGATCCTGTAGAGATGAGGAATCCCATTCGGTAATTTACCCTTGCTCAGGTCATATTCAGGCTTTCCTGCCCTTCAGGACACCCTGTTCTGGACCTACACCCTTGCTGACACATGCCAGTCCCCCGCCTTGCACCAAGGATAGTCCTGACACTGGGTCCACAGAAAGTGGTGAAGGCTTTCCTCAAGGAGCAGAACATGATGGATTTAAAAAGAAAAGTCACAAAGCCTAGGCACACTCTCCTTGGTGGAACGCAGGAGGACTCTGTAAAGCTCCATCTCCCCTCTCTGCCCTGAAGGACACCAGGGCTCCAAAGGTGGTGGCCTTGGTGTAGCAGTGACATGCAAGAGCAGAGCATTGCAAACATTTTTCAGTGCCTTGCCTACATACACATCTCTGTGTGTTTTTTCTCGGTGGCAGGCTGCTCTTGAGCCGTGCACACTGGCATGCTGTTGTACAGTGTGGACACAGGGAGGGTGACTGCCATGGCCAAGACCTGGCAACCTGCCCCAGGTGATGTTAAGTGACCCCCAGCCTCAGGACCAGGTGCACTGTACGATCACACAGTTGCTGCATTTGACTGGTGTGCTCCCAGAGTCACAGCAAACAGGAAAGCAAAAGCTCTCTGGGTGCTTAGGGGTGTGTATGGTTTTCAGTCCCGCAGACGGTCCCCTGTGAAGTTGTCCAGCTTTGTTTGAAAAGCTTCATATAAGCAGCACCTAAGGAAGGTATTCAAAGATTAATATACCTCTATCTTAACATTAATATTAATACATCTCTATAAACAATTGCAGGCTGCTGCCTGGAGGATAAGGCCCAAGAACACCTCTAGCAGTGGCACTGGCTGCCTCCTTTGCAGAGCTCCTTCATCTGTTGCCAATGAAGGGAAGGTCCATTTAAAGTACTTGCATGAAGGAGGGAGGGAGGGAGGGAAGAGGAATGCCCAGAGTTATGAGCCTATGGGTTCTCTAACTGCTCTGCTTGTGTGGCTAAAAACTGCCACTCAAGGAAAGGTGTGAACCTCGCCCCCTTAAAGCAGTTCCCCTTGCAACAGGTCCCTGAACATTCACCTTTGCACTGTCACACACTTATTCCCAGACAAAGACCTCTTACCATACTGCTGTGCAGAAATGTTTAGCAAAGGAACTGAAGGAAACACAGTGCATCACATTCCGCTTGCCCTGGTGGGGTCTTGGCCAGCCAAGTACAGCGCAGGCACCTACAGTAGCACCCTGCCAATGGAAGGTCCCTTCACTGAGCAGCAATAGCAACCCCCAAGAAGAGGCAGCATCCTTCAGTCTCCAGTATGGTGGCTTTTGATAGGGGAGAAGACCACTGGGCTACCAGCTGTGTATTTGAACCGTGCGATCCAACCCCTGC